ATGTCTGTATTAGCACGAGTGCTACCTTGCTGTAAAGTGCAGTTGAAATAAAAAAAAAAAAAAAGAAAGGCCGCTGGGAGCTGAAATCAGGCTCAAGGGGAGCTTGGGGAGCATTTAATCCCAGAGCTTGGCCACCAGCTCAGAATCTGCTATTATTAATATGAGCTGCGGTATTTCTAAGATTGCGTTTAATTAAATGGATCAAACCAAAATGGCGTTTATACTGAAAGGCGACACCAGGAGAGAGTAAGTAGCTAATAATGAGCAGCGTAGATTGGGCATTCAATATATGGTGAGAGATGAACGTCCTTCCTGGAAGGAGCTGTTTGCGGTCCTTTGGTAGTACTTTCTGTCATACTAGTTCTGTCTCTGAATTCGCCTGGGCTCTGTTCTTGTACACTAACCCCAATTGTGCTCCAGGGTGTTCCTGCAGTTGTAGTGTAAAGGATGACCTCTTGTATCCAGCACCTTTTTGCATGGGTGGAGTGGAGAGCAGCTCTCCGTGAACCTTCAGCTTGTGCTTCTCCATGCTGCTTCCTCTCAACGCTCTTCTCTCTTTGGCGCTGCCTAACTCTGACTCTGGCTGTTCATGGGGTTTTCCTTTGTGCTTGATCTAACCATGTGGTAGAACAATACAAATTGAACATGGTTCTGTCAAGCACCATGGAAGGCTGCATACTCCCTGCCGCATGGCATGCTGGGATACTTCTGCTGTTTTCAGAAGCATCAAAAGGTGAGAGATTCCCCTTTTCTCACAGGAAAAATGAAAAAGGTGAAGTGTTGCTTAACCAGACTCCCAGGCACTGCAGGGGGGAGCCCTAGTGATGTTTGCGACGGACTTTCCAGAGGGCTTGCATGCAGAATAACCATTTCTAAGAAATTAATCTATTTAATTGCTCTTAGAATGAAGAAGCTAGGCATCCTGTTGATTAATATGATTCAAGGGTGATTCCAGCCATGCCTACAGAGATGAAAAACCATTTTTGTCTTCTTACCTTATAAATAATATAAGCTACATCTCTCTATTTGACCTGTCCAGTGAGTCCTTCTACTTGAGGTACACTTTGGGTGCCGTTTCTGTAACAAGATGACTGCTACTTAATGAAACTTTGGACCTAATCTGAGCAATCTTAATGTGCTGGCATTTCATTATGAAGGAAGTATACTGCAAAAGAACTCCAGAAGAGTCTGCAAAGCATTATCTTTTATGTCTTGAACTGACATGGATAACATGGCCTGTATGAAAACTGTCATCCAATAGTTACATAGCAGAAAGCTGAGTCAGCATATCCAAATGAGCCATTTTAGCTTTCAAAGCTTAGATAAGAACTTTAACATACTTCGGCCTAACTTCCCCCCGTGTAGAGATAATTACACCTATTCATAAAGGACTTTGAGACCCTCATATGGAAGTTTTCTTACATGGAAATACTGCCTCATCTTGTGCATTTGTTACATATCTGTTGTGGAGCCATCAGAAGAAGGACAACTGAGATTCTTAGATTTTAGCTGTAATTACTGATAAGAATTAATACTACCGAGTGAAATTATGACAAACAATGTACCTCCTTTTTTTTCCTGACAACCTATGAGAATTGTGATCTAGTGGTTACACGAAGAAGTGAGTGTCGGGATTCCTGGGTTTTTTGTCCAAGTTTTAGACCAAGTGATCTCTGTGATCATATTTTTGGTGCCAAATTTGAGGCAGCTGGATTTATCTTTTCTAGAATGAATATATCAGTTCAGTATTCCAGCCCCTGTTGAGACAGCTTGATTTTTTCCAGAACAGATCATCCAGCACTCCTTTTAAGTCCTTTGGGCAAAGCTAAGTTTTAAAAACTGAAATCAGGTTTGCTAAACAATGCTAAAAAGAAGAACAGACAAAAAGGTATTTGTCTCTATTGCTTAATTTCTCCATGCTGGTATTAGAAAGGCACCTAAAATTTTTGAGCACTTGGAAATGTGGTGTTTCTTTGTCTCAATACTGCTGTTTTGTAGAATGGCATGTGTGTTTGTTTAATGATACTGAGGAATTACAATGCCCTGGTACCTGATAGTGGTGTCACATCACCTCAATTGAACACAGGCCTTGCTGTTGCCTTGGCTACTCATTTTACAGCAAACTTAATTCCTTTTTATTTTGAAAATTACTGGAAACTCCCAGGTCATGTTTTACATTCAACCAAGCTTCACAGCGTTCTCAGCTACAGTGCACACATGCTTTCAGGTATAATAAAATGACCAAATGGCTGGTCTGGAATAGTAAAATGAAGCCAAGTGTTTCTTCTGTGCCTGTCCTGCATCTCTTTTCTGTGGCTTTCCACAGGTGATTTTATAGCGTGCAAGAAGTACTACATGTATGTGATGGTTAATGGTACTTCCTGAATCCTGCCATGTTCACTCAGAGCCCCGCACTGGCACACTGATAAAGCTCTGTGTGTAGAAATGGATATACGCACTTCAATAGTTCTGCAAGCAGATGGCTGAGTTTCACATTAGTATCCCAGGTGGGAATAACTTCATAGAGCAGCCACCTGTCCAAGCGATCTCAAGGCTCAGGTCAAATAGTAAATGTTTTCCAGTCTTTGGCAGGCTCGTCTCCTGCTGTCTCACACGCTGAGAGGTGACTGAGTGCTTGCTGAGCATATGCATGCTATTGATTAGTTTTGACTCAGTGCTTACCTGGGTAACTCTTATTTAAACTCATTTGGAAGGAAAAAAGGAAAAGCAAAAAAAAAGAGAGAGAGAAAGCAAGAAAAGTACAAAGGTGACGTTTGCTCCCTTCCCCTCCTGCTGAGCTGAGAGGGCTTTCCCCTGTTGCAACCATGGAGGCAGTGGACTGACACCCAGGCAAGATCAACTTCTTATAGCTGATGCAGTGTGGAAAGTTGTATGCCATCAACAGAGTGAGAGCTAAGTCAAAATGTGGTAAATAGTCTTTATTTACTTTGCCAGAAAGCTTGAGAGAAAACCAAACCCTAATTTTCACCCTGTAATGTTATATACCCCTTTTTCTCCTTCATAAAGCTTTCCACTTACTTTCCCATCCTTCTTTTTTCCCATAGGAAGATGAATGTTGTATCCATCAGTAGACTAAAAATTATACTTAATAAATTCTTACACTGTGTAACTTCATGACATTTGTGATTATTCTTTCAAAGAAAGATTCTACAATGAAAGTTAGAAGTGCTTCTTCAAGGGTTAATTTGGGGATTTCCAAGACACTTTTTGGTCACTGAAAAACTTCGGTGGGTTTTTCAAGGCGTACTGTATTGTAGCAGTTTTAATAAACCCCTGTCCCGATAACTGTTCATTTTGGCGTTATTTCCAAGGAATCTTAACCAACCAAATGTACTGTCTTACACACCTAAGAAAGAATAGCTGTATGTTCTTGTAATCAAGCCATAATATGCTCATCACTTGACATTTTAGCCTGACTACAAAGCCTGGAATTTTTACGACTGGAAATCAGATGGGTTTTTTTTGAAAGGATAAGAGTTTAAATGATGGTGGTGTGGAGAAAGGCTTAAACTGTATTTTTGTAATACTTTAAAATGCCCAGTGGTCCTAATATTTTAAGTGCTGTGCTGTCAAACTAAAAACCAGTAGCCAAGTCTCACTTTAGATGTATAATTTACAATAAGCATGATAACCTGTGAAGTATTTAGCACCACAGAAGTGGTAATGTACGAAGCTGTATGTGATGTTTCTCATAATCTAGTTTGGAATTACAAAACTAAACCGAAGTGCGTCTGTGGAATCGAAATGTTAGATTTCCTACAGAATTGCTTGCTTTCCCTGCATCACCCTGTGGAGGTAATGTGTAACATAAAATAATAGTGGGTTTAGGTGACTTCTTTTTTCTTACAGAAAATAGTATGTGTATGCAGTGGTGTATTTATCAGTCTGGGAAGGGGAAGCAGGTGATGAAGATCGTCACGTCTCTAAAAACAAATTTCAGCTCAGGTTCAAGTTTTTATTGATGTTTTCAGGTTCTTAAACACTGAACTTGCGCAGATCATTCCTGAGAAAGCCTTGCAACTGACTTTTAAAACTCTGGAAAAATTAAAAAATACTTCTTGATAGTTATGATCGCTGGGCATTACACAAGGTTCCTGAGACAATTCTGGTGCTTCCGTTATGAAATATGAAGTGAGTGGGCAGGTATTGCGTGGCAGGGTCTTGGCAACACTATGCTTACATACACATTTATTAATACTCCTGGTTCCTTGAAACACAGAGATCAAGTTTCCAACCTGCTGTTATTAAAAGAGAAAAAAACAAACCTGAAGAGGACAGATTAGTTCACCGAGCCTAATTGCAAAAGCATTTCATTAGAATGGGTCAAAAACCTAGTCAAAGAGGTCTGGCAATCATGGTATAATGGTACATTAGGGAGTGCTTCTCACTAAGTATGGTCTACCCATTCCTTAATTAAAATGAAAATGATTTAAACTGCTATTACTTTCCTTTGCTGTTTATTTAACATAGTTAATAAAAGTATCTGTTGGAAAATTGACACGGTTCTCTCATAAAATATTGCTCTCAAAAATAACTCTAATAGCTGAGGTCTGAAAATTTTGGGCTTTTTAATGACATCTTTAAAAAGCCTTTGTCATTTGAATGCACCAAGATAGCTCCTGCTTTCATGAGATCCCTTTTCCTTGTTGGCAGACTAAGTTCCAAATGGGAAAAAGTGACATTGCTGGAGCTCATTTGAAGCAGACTCCAACAGCTAATTAGACGTGCTCCAAAAAATACCTTACCAGGTAGGCTTGTTAGACAAGGAATTAATCTATCAAGGGAAGAGGGGAAAAAACAGAGGCAAGTCTTGGGAGTAATTTGATAAATTGCTAAACAAAAATCTTTGGTAAACCTTAAAATTATGTGCAGGAGCCGGGAGCTGACAGGAGGCAGCGTTGAGAATAGATTCCATATAATCTCTGATTGCTGCAGTTATCAGGAACTGTTTGCTGGAATATATTTTCCTTTTATTGCAGGGTCAGAAGATTACAGAAGTAAATTCACCGGGAAGTGTTTCATGGACCTTGTCTGTCCTGAGAAGTGTCGCTGCGAGGGAACAATTGTAGACTGCTCTAACCAAAAGCTCACCCGATTACCCAGTCACCTTCCTGAATATACTACTGATCTGTAAGTGTTGGCTCTCCCAAGGTGTGCTCAGCAGGGCATGTTGGTTTTCCTAGTTTTTAAAGGCTGTGAAACGACTCAGACCAATTCAAGGCACCTTCTACTTAATCCCTGTGTGAAAAAGGGGAAGTTAATTTTATTTCAAAGGAGCACCACAACTCTCTTATTTCTTCAGCGTTCATGCCAGCTGTGGGGATGTGAAAGGAGCCATGGCCCTGTGCGTTGGCTGCCTCTGTGTGTCGTCTTGAAGTGTTGAGCTGTTACGTGTCCCGGGCTGTATGGTTCCTTTCCGTTCTACCTTTGAGTCTGTTGTCTTTGTGTCTGGTCATTTTTATTTAAGAAATGGATTAACCCTTTTGAGTTAAATCTGTGATCAGGCACTCATTCCTTCTCAGCAGTGCCTGCAACTTGGTTGAAATGGCTCTCGCTAAAACTAGAGCTTTGTTAAGCTGTAAGTGAGTCTATGATATCTATTTGCTTTTAGAGACCCTTCAGAATTATGAACATAACATACTGCTAAAAGAGTATGCGAAAACACGTTTATTACTTAATAACTGAAGAATCTGGTTCTTTTGTTATCTTAGTAGCCCCTTCAAACACAATTCTCTTTTTGTGTTAGTATTCTATTTATTGTACTTAAGATAGTTTATTTAAATCCTCATAAAAATTGTTGATCTGAAGTTAAGATAGGAAAATACGAGAGAGACATCCATAAACACAGCGAGGTCTCTACATAGAAAAATGGAGCTACATGTAATCACAGAAAGAATTTTGTATCCCAAGCCTGCCAAGACAGTGGCCTTTGCATTAATTTTGAAGTAGACTTTGATGGGAAAGGAGCTGAAATCAGGTTCCTTCTGTTTACATGGACCACATCTCCAATTGCATGTCTTCTGTAGCAGAATGCGTGAGGGGAGGTTTAGTCACACAAACAAGGCTGTGTGATGGTTAAGATTAATAATCCCTTATCCTGTGCATTGGAAGAAGGCGGCATTCTGACACTGTCCTTTGGCATTACTCTTAAAGGCACCCTAAGCTTTTACTATAGATCCTCTTCTATGTTCCCTTTCCTTCAAAGCTAAACTGTTTTCACTATAGGAGTCTGAGAGAGAAGGCAGATAGTGTCATGCTTTAACAAAGGTCATAGTTGTCTGTGTGGCAGCCCTGTGTGTCACAGAGTTATATCTATAGACGTCTGTGAAGTATTAAATGTCTCCTTTTTTTGTTCCTATCAGGCGTTTGAATGACAATGATATTTCTGTTTTGGAAGCCATCGGACTCTTCAAGAAATTGCCCAACCTCAGAAAAATGTAAGTCTGAGATACTTCCCTGTGACTTGCTGCCTTGGATTATAAAGAAGAAGGAAGGGGTCGGGTGTTTTTTATAGTTTAATACTGCAGTAGCAGAAATTACTTTTTAAATATGAATTTAAGGAAACTGAATGAGTTGCCTGTTGGATGGACAGGCCCAGTTAAACCACAGTGACAGATGAAGATCCCTAGGCTGACATTTCAGTATTCTTTAGGCTATATTTCTTGAAGTTTTCGACTCATGGAGACTGAAGGGAATCATGTCCCCAAATTTATTCAGGTGTATGCTTATTGTTAGAGGTGGCTACAAAGTTTAGCATTTTAGTTTTTGTTTTGAATGTATTGCGCAACTCCAACTAGTGTGATTGTTTTGAATGGTCAAAGGAAAATAATATTACAAGATATAGATGATGGCAGCTTCTTTTGATCATTGTTGTTTTAGAGAGAATCAATTAGCTAATAGTCTTCTAAATGGATCTTTCTGAAGTTATGTAAAGTTTTAACCTTATGGCCCCATTGTTAATGTCTCGTCTAACTGTTTACTTTTAGTAAGATTTTATTGCTAGAGTCAACGTAATTTAGGGAAACCAACCAACCATGCTTTGTGTTCTGCGTTCATTTCATGTGGTTTCTGCCATCTGGAGCTTCCTAGCCGGTAGAATCCATGTAAGATCTCAGGGGTTTTGGAGACAACTGTAGTAGGATTCTTAGGTCAGTTTTATTTCTGCAACAGCTTCAGAAGCAGCACTGCAGGTTTGGGAGTGGGGCTTGTATTTGTGCAATACAGGCCACCAGACTTGGGGAATTAATCATATACATAAGCCTCCTATTTTATGAATGATCCATAGGAACATAGGAAGTTCCATCTTAACATGAGTAGGAACTTCTTTACTTTGAGGGTAGTGGAGCACTGGCACAGGCTGCCCAGAGAGGTTGTGGAGTCTCCCACTCTGGAGACATTCCAAACCCGCCTGGACGTTGTCCCGTGCAACCTGTTGTAGGTGAACCTGCTCTGGTGGGGGGGGGTTGGACTAGATGATCTCCAGAGGTCCCTTCCAACCCTGACCATTCTGTGATTCTGTGATAAGTTGTAGCTACAGTGCAACTAGAAAAAGCTGTTGACGTTGTTCAAATGCCCTGTTGTCTGTGTAAATAGAACGCAAAATGCATGGTATATAAATGTATATACAAATTGGGGAACATCTGTCTTCATCAAACCTTCAGCGTTTATGTTTTGAATATTGGAGAGTTGTGATAGCTAGAATAATTTATCCCATTTTATTTAAAACTTATCGTAGTCAAGTCATGGTGCTGTCCTTCCTGCTCCCATCAATCACTCAGGTGGGAGGGATGCCTCGACAGGGCTGTATTATTGAGCGTAAGTGCAGCATGAAACAGTTATGAGAGTTTTTTTAAGAGTTTGTTTCCTGTGAAACAAAATCTTTCTGCTCTGGTCTTGGTAGGTGATGAGAAATGAGGTGTACAGGTGCAGTACAAACAGATGGCAAAAAGAAGTTGTGCCCTACACCTCATAAAAAGTGTCTCTCATGGGTTTTTAGTAGCAGCCTCCAAGCAGAGGCTCTTTAGGTAATCTTTGTAGTTAAGCTAATTTCTTCTGTTCTGCTTGATGTTGTAAAGAAGTATCTCAATTTGAATAAAGGGATTTTCTGAAAAGGGTGTTTTTTCATATAAGCGGAGCAACATTTCAACTATAACCTTACTCAGTAGCTTGATCCTTAAAAAGCCAGAGTAGACGACTTTTTTCTAATTCTCCTAGTTCCATTTTGTGAAGGGAAGGGGTTAACAGGAAAAAAAAACAAACAGGCAAACACACACCTCTTTCCTTCTGTGATATTATTTGGCCTTTACGAAGTATGCTTCTGCTAATAATAGGCCTCTCTCCATCATGCAAGAAGGGAAATGTAGAGAAATACCAGTGGATAGGATTGCCGCTGCTAATGGTCCTAATGCAGCAGTTCTCTGTGTGTGGCAGAATGTGATGTATGTGCTCTTCATTAAGTCTTACTGCTGCTATTAAATTAATGAGGAAGAATATTGATCAAAATCCCGTTTTTCAGTATGTACAAGGGACAAGAAATTTTACTGTTACTTGATTGGCAATATTGACTCTCTCTCATCATATTTCTTGTCTGTTCAAGTGTTAAAGGAAAACAGCATGTGGAGGAATCTGCTGGAAATTGCATTGCTTCCTAGGCTGAAGAAAACAGTTTAGAGCTTTGCAGTGGCACACCATCAGCCTAAATCACCTTTTTTTTTTTTCTTTTTTTCTTTATTTAATCTTTGTAAATATCTTTCTTCTGAAATGAATCTGAATACCTGGAATCTAGATATCTGAATGGGCATTTGAATGATTGCCCTCTGATTGTCCTTCATTTCAGTTTAAGGCTAGTGACAGATCCATGTCAAGGAAATCTGCAAAGAAACTACTAAGAGTACCGTGGTTCCACTGTGGCTAGTAAAGCTCCAGCATAATTCCAGAGATAGAGGAATTAGCACTTCTATCCTCTTGATGGGCGTTTCATCTTGGTACCTCCTCATCTTACATTATACTTGTGTAGCTTTGGTTTATAATGTAAACACTCTGAGGTGGTCTGTAAATTGGACGTTAAGGAGGATTCACATTTTACCTGCATTCTAGGCGAATGCTTACATTTGTTCTTTTGTCACTCAAGCTGCATCAGCTGTCCGTGTCTGTATGTGTGTTGTGGCATATCACGGTCTCTTGGGTTTTCTAATAAGATTCCTAAGAGGAAGTACTCATAGATTCGACATTGACATACTAGGGTTGCTCCAGTGTGTGTATGTGAAAATAGTCTTTAATTATTATTATTGTCATATAATAATTTTCAGTTGGACTCTTATCCCAATCCCTTGCTAGGTTCCTCATCTCCTGATTCAGCGCGGTTTCTATTCTCACCGTGTTTTGTCTCAGCATAAGGCCAGTGTCCTGTCCCTCTTCTCTCTGCCTCTCTCTAGCCACTGACAAAACTCCTGCTCTTCTCACTCAGGCTCCCTTCCTAGCCCTCACGCACAGTTACTCCACTGCAGTGCCGTGAGCTGGTTTTACAGCCTTCACAGATCTCTCTGGGGCCCCCTCTCTATCCAGTCAAGGACATTACTTCTTAATACTGCCTGGGATTGGTAGAGGAGATACTTGGATACAGCTATACGGTAGTTACCAATTAACAAATCTGAAATCAGAATGTATTTGAGTGCTTCGGGATTTTCACAAAAAGATTATCTGAGTTTTGAGATATGAGAAAAATAGTATTTTTGGTTAGCTTTCTTTCCTGGAATAGGTAAACTTCTTTCGTTTAAAAAAAAGAAAAAGAAAACTGAAAAGAATCTACCTCTAAACATGAAAAGGACGTCTGACAGTTCATTCTTTTAAATCTTACCAGTGTTATAAATAAATATTTAAAAAAAAAAACAAACGGGGGGGGGGGAAGTGTCATACCACCTTTGCAATAGGTGGTACTGCCAACACCACCTCTAATATATAATTACCTTTTGGGGTGTAATTTGTCTGTAAATATTCCTCCTAAGCTGAATCTTATTGTATGGTGTGTCAGCCCAGGTTTTAATACATTTTAATGCAAAACAAAATTGAATTCTTGATACAGAAATTTAAAGGTCACAGATCCATAATGCAAAGTTATGCCACATTTTATTTAGGAATTAAATTGCTAAGATTACCCTGCTGGTTTTTAAAAGGTTAACATGTCTGCATATGCCTTTTAAAGAAAAAACAAAAACCAAACAAACCATCAACATTAATAATTAGCTGCAAAATCCCGTACACATAATGCTATTTTCATAACCTAAATTTTAATCCATCTTTATGTTTAATGCTTTTTACAGCCAAATAAAAAGGTTGATATAGATTCCTGTAGACAGATCTAACCTGGTCCAGAAGTAATTTACTGTGTTCTCCAGTGGGTTTTGCAAAATGCCCCGAACTCTGTGTTGCTTCTTAACCATGTTACCTCACCTGATCTTGCAAGTGTAAAGGGATGACTTTTCTCTGAAAGCTAAAGTCACATTACAGTGACTTCCTGGCTCCAAGAACTGTGTTGCTAGTATTTTGCAGGTTGGGTAGAAAAGAGCAATTTGAATCTGCCTGAAGTGCAGGAGAAACACAAGGGTGCATTTCTGAGCTCCATAAGAGTGGGAGCAGGGTTTTGGGAGTATCCTATCCCTGTGAGATAGAAAGGCTTCAGAACCTGCTGCCCTCCATCCCTGGGAGCTGTAAGCTTCTACCTTTCACAGAGGAGTATGTTGCCAGTGAGAGATCTTCTCAATCAACACAGCAAGATCTCGCATCAGGCAGGGGTCAGGGGTGACGCTACCATTCACAGAGGTAAGGTTTTGACTTTTGTGGAATGGAGCAGTTCTTTGCTCGCTGCAACTACCAAATTCAGCATGAAGCAAACACTGGGACCCCAAAACTCCCTGGGGACTACCTCAAGTTGTTAATCAGTGAAAAAAACCGCCAGTGCCTGGGGAGTGGGAACCTGGAGTGGGTCCCACTGCCAGCAGTGGGAGCCTGGAGGGGTCTTTTGGCCATGGCAGACAGGTTCAAGCTCCAAAACTCCCTGGGTACCTAACTGAGTGGGAGCACGGAGATACGCTTGCTTGCTGAAATGGGATGCTGACCCGTAGTGAAAGACTGCAGCTCCTAGATGTCAGCTCCAGAGCCTGCCCACTCCCTGGTGCCTACAGGAAATTAGTGGGACTGGCCGTTCCCACTGAGGTCCCAGCAGCTGTGTCTGCAGTGAAAAAATTGGCAACAAGCATGCGTTCAAAACAAAAAGGTGAACTGCCACACTTCATGCACTGCTGGGGAGAAAGGGGACTGACCTCTTTTCTCAGAGAACAAGAAAAGTAAAAAATATTTATGTCAAAACCTGAAAGGGACATCTAACAGTTCATTCTGTTAAATCTTGCCAAAGTTAGAAAGTGAACATAAAATATAGATAATAGGAAGTGTCAGGCTGTCTTGGCAATAGCTGGTAATGCCAACCCCACCTGTAGGATATAGTTGCCTTTGGAGGCTTAATTTTGCTGTAAATGTTTCTCCTACATTGAATTGTATGGAATGTCAGCCCAGGATTTAACACATTTTACATGCAAAATAAAATTGAATCGTGATAAAGTTTGCAGACTAGAAATCAGTTTCCAAAACAGAATCTCAAGTTTCTTGGGGAGGTAAAAGTACTTTGTGTCCTTGGAAAGAGCTGTTACCTGCTATTCTCTCCCCTAAGCATAAATTTTGCCATGGCAATTGAGGTTGCGGTCATCTGTCACTTTTTATACAGAACAAGACCTCATTTTCTGGAAACGATATTGCAGAGAGTGTTGTGATACGTGGCACTTGGGCTCATCGTGTGCCTCCCTTTTTATCCAGTAAGGCCATCAGTCTGCTCTGCTGAATGAATATAGGAGTGTCACTGATGTACTTCACTGTCTGTCTGTAGTATTTAAGAGTTTCAGTGCCATCCTGCTTCTGAGAACAACTCGCTCTATAAAAGCCTGCCAGACTGCTGGTAAAAGCTGTAAAACCTTCTCCACATCCTCCAGAGGAAAGCAACAGCATGGGGGTTTTCCTCCTAACATGTACTTAAAAATTCCAAGCGCATCACCAACTGGCAGAAATATTCTAGGGAAACCCCCTCCCCAAACAGGCTGTTTGTGTGATAAAACGACGAGGTTCGAGGTGAAACCCAGCAGAGCCTTGGCAGTTGGACTGCGCTCTGGGTTGCTCTTGTGGGAAGGTGTGTGGGTAACGCAGCCATGAACAGCATGCTGCAATGTTGAAATTGCCCCAGCAGGTACAGCAGGATGAATGGGTCTCTTAAGTCTGGATAGAATCCAGCTTGTTCTGTCTTGAAGTTATAAGATCAACAGAAATAATATTATTATAAACTTTAGCCATAAAATAAGTAAAATCTGACTGAAAAGTGAGCTGTGTGAACAATGTCACCTTGATAGCTTCTTAGATCTGTTCATTTCATATTCACAGCCCCACATAAAGTAAACACAGGCTTTCTGAAAATTTCTTTTGACCTCTTGCCCAAAATAAAAGTCTGAAATAGGATTAAACATTATCACCAGGGTAAATCAGGGAGCCTTTGCGGAAACAATACCCTTTCTTGACTATCCAGGTTGATTATAGGTTCCCACTTGGGTCCTGCCAGAGGGCATAGGTATCTTGGGAAATACTCAAGACTCATTTTATTTTTCACTGTCTTCCAGTATTTCAAGAAGAATTCCTTATAGAAGCTTAGAGTTGCAAGAGGATGGGGCTTTTCTATAATGGGAGTTTGCTTTAAAGTCTGTCAGAAGTTGTTGGGGGATTTTTTGATAAAAAAAATAATTCCTTGTCAAGTGCTATGATCATATATGAAAGATTCTTTTAGTGCTGGGAAGGATGGAGTAGAGCTTTCCAAGTTGCAGAGCAGGCAAAAGTTTCACTGCTTTCATTTTTCAAGTTTTGCTTCAGCTGATTATTTTTACTGGTAACTCTAGACTGAAAAGTATGTAATTTCTCATGTTTGTTAATCTATTAGGTCAGACTTTAAGGAGGATACTTTTTTTTTAGTAAATTGGTGCTGTCATCTACCAGTTTTTTGTTACATTCTGATATGGGAAGCTTTAATTTAGGAAGAGAAATAAAAAAAATCCGGGTTGGCAGAACATCTGCTTTGAGAATAGTCCAAGTGGAATTGCAGGGCAGTGTCATCTTTACCTATGTATTATTGTAAAGCTTGTATATTCTCTGCCTTGCAACTTTGATTTCACCATAGCATTTGATCTTGGCTTTTCAAATCTTTTGCATGGGAAAGGTATATATAATTGGCTTCTTTTGAAACTGTTAGCATATTTTTGGATAATTTTGTGTTGTTGAAACAATCAGGCGTTATTAACTCAAATGAGTGAAGTTCCGTGTCCTACAGAAGTTCTTTGGCAGCAATTAAAATTCAAATGGTTTGGACTGCATAAAGGTGCCAATTCCTTTGCAAATTATGGCCAGCCTTTTCCTCCAATATTTGCTCATTTTTGCCGTGAGTATCTAATCATCTGTTAAAATTGCACCTATGTTGTAATATATGTGACTAAATATATTTTAGATGGTAAAAACTAATAAAACTTTGTAACTGCAAGTATTGGTCAGTTTGCAATCTGTGAACTGAAAGTCAAAGTCATCACGTGTTATAGTAACTCACCCTCCCTTCCCACCACAAACATCTACTTATTTATTCATTTATTTTTGTGCAAATACGCATCGTGGCATGATCTTTACCAGGAAAGGGATCATTGGGAGCATTTATTTATGCAAGCACTCAAAAGAGATGCTGAGCCATAAACGTTTCCACTAGAGAAATAGCTGAGCCCCAAAATTAAATGCATATGTCAGAATATCCTTCCTTGACTTGCTTTGACACTGAACATAAACTCTTCATGTGAGTGTTAGCACAAAGTACTAAACTTCTGGAAAGCAAAATCTGTATGTAAGTATTTCTATATGTTTTTATGTTATTTTTGGCTGATTGCTGGCATACTCCTATTCTTTCTGATCACAGAATGCACAAGAGGTGATGGGCCACATGCTGTAGGGCCCAGTATCTGACAGTTGTTCAGCAGACATAAACCAGTGTACTCAAGTTTCCCACATGAAACATATCTCCAAGGCTCAACTTTTTTTTTTTTTATTAAGTGATGACTTCTGCAAAGACCAAGACTCACATTATTTCTATCTGAGGCCAAGCTGTCCTGTTGCCATGTCTTCTGTCAACTTTTATCCCAACAAGATTGCCTGTTCTTCTGAGCAGAGTAGCCCAGGTGTTAATCTGATACCTTGTCATTTGTTTTATATCACCTGGAATTGGATTTTGAAACTATTACTCATGCTGCTTGTGTACTGGGATCATTTCTGGAATAACGTGCTATTCAGTATGAGTAATAGTGTTGGAATTTGGCATCTTCTTGGGAGCAAGGACATATCTTTTACTTTCTCTTTTTTGTTGTAGACAGTAAAACAAAGAATAGTGTTTCCTGTCATAAAATAGCATTATTCATCATAATCTATATGGGGCATCTTAGGAGATGCTTGAAGGAATCAGGCCCAAGGTTTTAATGTGCTTAAGGCTTTTTATATAAATGTTTTAAATAATTAAATGCCATTTATTTTTATGCATCTCTAATGGCATTTTATCGTTCAGAAGTTTTCTATTCACTGGGCTTTTCACAAATATGACATGTCCAAAAGATTAATTTTGCATTTCATCACGACTTCATTTGATTTTGGAGATTGACATTTCCCAATGTTGATCTATAAGCAAAAATCTCGTGACTGTAAAGGCAGAGTAAATATTTAGAAAATAATGCTGTATATTGCAGTAACTGTGACTTGAGAGTTCAAGTGATAGTCCTTTCATTTTGAGCGCTGGGGTTAAACTTAAGTGCCTGGGAGTTCATGAGTACACGTATTAAAATCTGTATAAGATACATGCAGTCACACAGTTTTATACGTTACTCCAGTGTTAAGTCTAAAAAGGTCCTGGTACATTAAATAAGCGGTCTGTATTTCAGTGTGTCGTACCTGTTTCACTAGTAGTAACATTAACTGATTCTTGCCAGATGAACACCCAGTCCCAAGCATGGTCCATAACCTCGTGGATATAAATGAGATGTTAGAAACCCCCACTTATTGTATCCCTGAGGCTCTTATAAGCAAGAATGACATGAAGTGTAAGAGATGGTAATTCCATTAATTTAAATACTCTTGATATATCTGATGTAATTGTGGTTTTGATGAGTGAAAGGGAGCTACTTTTAAATACAGTAGGTATACTTTTGATCTTCTGTATGCTCTCCTTGCTGAATGAATGTCTCCCTAGAAAACCACTAAAAGGTGCATATTCTTCCTATCATCTTTCTTCCAGTGTGATAATGTATGTTTGGAATAAAACACTAACGATTTTCTTACTGTGACTTGTTGTGTCTTTCCAGAAATCTAAGCAACAATAAGATCAAGGAGATCCGAGAAGGCACATTTGACGGAGCTTCAGGAGTGCAGGAACTGATTCTGACAGAAAATCAACTGGAATCAGTGCATGGGCGAATGTTTAGAGGCCTCACAGGGCTAAAGACATTGTAAGTGCAAAGACCTGGCTTTCTCTGTTCCTCTGTAAGTTGAGCGGGAGTGCTCAAGGTCAGCAATGCCTGCTAAAATATCTGTTACTAGACAAAAAGCTCTAGGGCAGGGTCTTGTATCACTGTCGTGAAGTCTTCAATATATTTCTAGTCCTGAGTACGTTTGAGATTTATCTGCTCTTTCTGTGGAAAAAAAACAGGTTTTCAAGAATTTCAGGAGTAACGTGATGGTGAACCTGTCATGGGTCAAATTTGGGCACTTTTAATCACTTAATACTTTTATTATTTTGTTATTTCCTATGGAAACAAGGTATGCAGGAACATGTTTGCTATCTATTAGTCCATCCTCCCACTCCGCCTCCACCCAATTGTTGGTCTGCTTAAACCAAACCTCTGTGTAGGCTAGGAGCCTAAAAGATTTTTAATATCCTACGAGCTATATGAAATCAGTAGGTAGGGAGAGAAGAACGACTGAAGTTATTGCTGCCACCAAAGCAGGTATAGGTAAGCAACTTTAAGGCAGGCATAACCAAACTGTTACAGGTCCTGCTGACAAGAAGGTCTCTGGCCACTCGCTCTGCACCATATGTAGTAGCCACAAACACAGCAGGCTTTGGACTAGCCACAGCATGCTCTTTCTGGTCCACACCAATTACCATAAAAATTATGTGTGGGTATACTATTAATGTGATTGAGGTTGGGGAGAGTGTCAAGGAGACACAGAGCCCAAATGCGTAAGAAATCAGTTTGGTGTTACTTTTGTGCTTAGACAATCTTTGTAGTTTATTTCTGAGAACTAACACTTACACATAAACTCATAGTACCTAACACTAATTTTTTTTCCTGTTAAAAGTTACACTGAGAGAAGGATCACAGACAAGATTTCAAGACCATCCACCATCCTGAGAAGTAGTCAGGGCCTAGGCTTCTGGTGACAGCAAAGACTCATGCCAGATGACATGTGTGATCTGTACGTGAAAAATACCGTTCTTGCGTAGTCTTCCCTCCTGTAGAAAAAAAGCACTTAACTAGGTAGACGCTGTCAGTAAATAGACTTTAGGAATCAAAATGCGATTTAAAATCTGCAATTTATTCATTAGCAGCAAATACTTCTTATGTTGCAAAGTATCATGGCACAATTACTTCAGTCCTTACTTAAGTGTAAAAAGAAAGCCCAAGTTTCACTTCAAGGACTTCGGCCTGTAATGACAAATAGGGAACTTTTCTTTTGCTGTTCCTTTAACACTTTTTTTCTGTGGTTACAGCCATCTGTTCTTTAATGTATGCACTTTACTAAGGGATTTGGAAATACTGTCCATAGATACTAAATTAATTTTCATACTGTAAAGCAGCCTGTGGCAGTGCTCCTAAACAAAATTGAGCATTTTTTAATAAAAAGATGCTTAACATTCAAGCTATCCTGCTGACCTGACCTACATTTCCCCCTAGCTGATAAAGCAGTCTAAATATACACAGCATGATATGAGGATCTGTAAGTATAATTTTCCTTCAGGAAGTGCACACAGTGCATGGTGAACCATGATACAAAACCAAAGGTTTGGGCTTGAGGGACATATATTTCTATGCATTAATTGACTTTCTTTGAGCATTAAAATTGTGATGTTTTACAAAGAGGCCACATTGGACAGGGTCATGGTCCAGTTTTGAAAAGAAATGTAATAAATGTAATGAATCGCTGTAGAAGATATATTGGCATCCAAATTCAGTCACGCCAACTTGCAATACTACTTTACATACAGAATTGAGAAAATGTTTCCTACTGCTACTGAGCCACTAAGGGCCTTACTTCTCTTGTTTACTACCATATTCATTTTAAAGCTTGTTTACTACCATATTAATTTTAAAGCTTGTGGTCTTGATGTGGCTTTCTGGCAGCTTAGTACTCCACGTGTAAGGTGTGTGTCTCTGTGCCCTATGACAGCTGCACCCCAGTTGCAATACCAAAACTATTGAGACCGCAGTGCCTGTGATGGTACCTGTACATAGAGAACAGTAATGCAAAAGCAATGTAATGTTCAGGTCTTAAACACTGAGTGTTTGCAATTACATTGTGAATTTCTTCCCAGCCATATCTAATCCCTCTTTGGTGTTTTTTCAAGTATCTGTTGATGTAGCAACTAAACGCCCAACTGGCAGATACCGATCTGAGATTTAAATCCAGACTGCTAAGGGAGTCTGAATTTTCATTGTTCGCTGCATGAATTTGATACCACGGAATTAACCCTCCTCAATTTGGAGGATCAATTCACTGGAACAGCAGCATGCGCTGCATATAATTTGTGGATTTTTCATAGTATGCTTTAATTACTGAATAATTTTTCACCTAAGTAGGAATATCACAACTGTGTAGTGTTGTTTACAGCCCCAGATGTTGATTGGCATGCAGTATTACAAATACACATGAGCCTTTTTTGCTATGGAGTGAAACAAGTTACTAGAGTCTTTCGGATTAATTGGGCTTTATCATTGAGTTCATTGTTACCATAACAACTCAGAGAGATGTATCTTCCAAAACAGCACTGATTCATCTGGTAGAAGCACTGAGCAAAGACTATTTTATAGGACGGTATTTCTGTCTTGTCAATTAATTATTATAATCACATTTCAGAGCTTGTGTTAGGTCTGGAAATCTTTCCTAAGCTATTCCTTGATTTCTGCTGAGGATGCTGTTTCCTTCCATGCTTTTGCAGTGTGGATTATAAAAAACATCCATGATAGTAGTAGAACTAATGCAGCTAGTATTGTTATTGTCACACATTTCTGGCAGTCTTTTTCAATTGATCTCTGAAATAAATCTTCACTTACTCTCAGATATTTACTAAATTTAGACTTTAGTTTTTATTCCAAGTTTGCCACTAGTCCTAATTTTAATTGCATACTACTTTCAGATGTGGAGCTCCCATCAGCCTCTAATGTTGTGTGGAAGAAATGCGCTTTGAATTCATGAGACAATATTTACATGAATCTATTCCTCCTATAGCTGTATCGTACTTCAGCAATCAATAAAAAGAGAGTAGAGTACTTGCCAAAGCATCTCTTGCTGCCCTAGGTAAAGGACCTCCTATCCTGAAATTGTCCCCCCTCCCAGTAGTTCCTGATTCCCTGTTTTAATCCTTGCAGGATGCTAAGGAGCAACTCTATCAGCTGTATAAACAATGACACCTTTGCTGGACTGAGCTCAGTGAGGCTTCTTTCTCTGTATGACAATCACATCAGCACTATCACTCCTGGAGCCTTCAGCACATTGGTCTCTCTGTCTACAATGTAAGTTATCTTTTTATGGTCTGAACGTGTCATGATGCTGTTATTCTGTGCTTTCCTTTTAAGAAGACAATGTTTGAGTTTCAAAATCAAACTTTTCTTTGTTCATATATGGAAAATC